GCAAGTGCTTCAACGCCGTCGGCCCATGTGCAGTCATAATAGCCGCTATCAACACATACAGAGCCTGCAAATGACACGGCAAAAAGAGACGAGGCTAACTCCTGCTCTACAGCAATCCTACATTCACCGACGGGTAATTCACGCTCATCCCAGAATCCCTCCGAGTCGCACCCTCCTCTCCTCCTCCTCCTGGAATAACGAAAACCTAAACTACACCGCCTCGGAGAAGGGCAATTTCTAAAACTCGGCTCAGCTTCGATTGACGTACGAACAGCGAGCACTGCCGTAGACGTTATCCCGAATGATGAGTAGCGTGCATTTAGAAAGTGGTTGGTGCAGGGAGGGACGGAGGTGATGCGGGTTTAAACCGCAAATCTCGGAGTGGGGGACGGGCCAAAGCAGACAACTACTAAACTCAGCTCTGCCGAGGGAAGTTAGAGACGGCTGAGTGTTGCTTTCAAGGCAGGAATAGGGAACACAGCAGAAGAGAGGGACGAGCATGCAAGTCAGGAACTGGAAACAACAGAGAAGAGAAACGAACAGCACAGAGTTACAAAGTTAAATTAAGGCAAATATGAGCTTATGAATAGAAGAAAAGAAAGCAGGTGCAGAGAAATAAATTAGAATCTATAAATAAAAGCAAAATAATTGGCCAACGTACGGGCTGCCCGTGCGAAGATGTGTTTTTTGCATGGCTCCGCGAAGATTTTTGTCGCTAACAGTACTGGTTTTTCCGGCAGATGCTTCTAGCTAAAAGAATTTCAGACTGGCCGCTAAAACTGTCAAGAAACATCCCCTCAAAATTCCGGTCTTCTAGCTTCTCATGTTCTCGAGTTAGCAACTTACCCGGAAGAAACTTCCTCGGACCCGTACGTAGATATCACGCTTACGAGCGGGCAGGGTTTGAACTCATTAACACCTACTTGGAAAGGGAACATCAGGATTTCAGCGTTCTAGCTTCTCAGATCCCCGAGTTATGAACTTACCCGAAAAAATTTTGGCGGGCCCGTACGCGGATACCACTCTTACTCGGGGGATGGGTTTCAGTGCATTAACACCTACTTGGACGGGGAATATTGCCCTAAGATTTCAGCGTTCAAGCTTATCAGATCCTCGAGTTATGAACATACCCCAAAAAAACTTTGACGGGCACCACGCGGGTGATGGCGCCCATTTTGGGGATTGCGGCCGGCACATGCATGCATATTAAGTTCCCGAATTTTCAGCCCTGCAGCTTTTATAGGTCTTGAG